ATTATTATTCCTCACATTTAAAGTTTAAAACATAAGAAATTAAAAATTTGTGACATTTTCGATAAATAGGAAATGAAAGTCTTAGATTATTAACTTTTAGGTTAAAATAAATATGAAGAAATACGATTTTTATTTAAGATACGGTGGTATTGATATATTTGAAGCGTAACAAACAAGCACATGAGAAAATTGTCTATAATATTAACAATTAAACAAATAAAACTCAGGCTATTCTACCCTATTTTCACATCACTTGTCTTTTTTGTCCATGTGCAGTAACATCTGAAACTTATTCATTTGTGAGGACATACTATGTGAAAATATATGTGAAGAAATAAAAGTCTTATTTAACAATGTAAAAGAGTTAATTAAAAATCTACAGATATTTGTATCATCAAGTGGGTTTGGAAAATCTCTGAAAACATAGATTCCAATACACAAATGAAAACTGATCTCCTTGAAGTAGCTTAAATGATAAGTGAAGCATGGTAACAAATCACACCACAGATGATCACTAATTATTTTTGTAAAGCAGGTTTTAGTCAATCAAGAAAGTGACTGAAATCATTCAAGAAGAACCTATAGTGATGTCAGTTCCAGAATGGTGGGTTAATATAGCAGCTGACATCACTTATGACTCCTACATAAATGTTTACAATAAAGTTGCAATTTGTGGACAACTTACAGACACAGAAATTGTTGAAGAGTGAGGAATAGTTATGGAATCTTTGATAAAGATGAAAATGAACCTATTTATACAAAACACATCCCTATGCCAACAACTGTAGAAGCTGTGGACATTTTAGAAAAAGCATGATGATTTGTAGAAGCTTAAACAAATATTATGGATCACACCTTTCTTTCTCTGGGTTTTATAAAAAAAAACCCTGAGAATGGAAGATGAGATCCATAATATTTATATCATGTAAAAACAAGCAAAAAGAAACAAATAAAAGTTAAATTTTTTTCAAATAAAATACAGTATTGCAATTGTGTTTTCTTTTGTTTGTTTTCTTTACAATCATAGAATGACTAAACATCAACAATAATAATTCAAACCAAAAGTGAATCACTGGAAAAAGCAAAAAGAAAGTGAACAACACATCATACATGATATTGTTTCTGGTAAATTTTATCATTTTAAGAATTGCTCAAAGTTTGGAACTGTGAAACTTTTAAGCGAGCAGAAAAATTTTGCCACCAATCACTTCGCAGGGATCACTCTGGAAAATTTTAAAATATTGCCAACCATTCACGTGTTTTAAATTTTTATTCACCACTTCAAATAATTTACTTAATAATTTTAAATTATTAAGTTTTACCACCAGTTTTACTTATTAATTAATGCATGCCTGACAGCCTTAGCAGTTTGGCATCTGGAAAGTAAAAGTAACACATTAAGTTATCACTTACAAGGAGAGGGCTAGACATTTGGGTCTCTGATTCTAATGAAATTTGGTGAGCACATAGCCTGAAGCACAACATCTAGTACAAATAGGACAAACTTCTCAAGCATTTCCCTAAAATGGGTCTCTGAAACTTCAGTGTTTAGCTTATAAATCTTTGAAAGTTTCACTTGTCTGAGCAGTAATATAGATATGTGGAAACACTGAGTTAGAATTGCTTCATGCATAAGTGCAAGGAAAACCAAAACACATCATGGCAGAAAATGATATCATGGAATTATTACAATCTGAAATTGGCATTTTGAAAAGGAGTGGTGTGAGTGGGATCAGCAACATCGAGAGCTGCTGAAAAAGCAGAATTTAATGCAAGAAACAATCAAGGAACTGCAGACACAGAGAAATGACATCGAGAAGCTTAATAAATTACTACAAAGTGACCAGGCTGAATTACAAAATAAATGCAAAGATGCAGAGAAGAATTCTGAGGCATTTTTGCAGAAAATGAATATCCAAAAAGATGAAGTTATCCATTGCCAAAAACAGCTGCTTGATTGCAAAGATTGCCTCCTTGTGGTCAAAGAACAGCTTAGCCAGAAACTCACAACCTTGTAACAAGTGAAAAATCAACTGGCTGTTGTCACTGAAAGGAGTAGCATGATGCATCTGAGAAGTGCATTGGAATGTTTTGAAAAATCAAAACACATCTGTCAGCAGAAAGACCAAAAGGGGAACAGTGGCAAGATGTTTTCTTTTTTGGAAAAGAAATAAAAAACTAGGAATATCATCCAACATGAGGGACTCGATGCTACATTTGTGAAAGATGCATGTGTCTTTGATTAGGACACCAAATAAAAATATATGCAAATGGTATAAAATTGGGAAAAACTTGGAAATTGAAAATGATGAATTTGATGAAGATGAAAAAGCATTATCATCTGCAATTTGGAAGCTGTCCCCTCTGAAAAGGAAAGTTTATTAAGAAAGAAGTTTCTAGATAGTTATGAATGCAATATACTGTAATTAATTAATTCTGAGCTAACTAAAGCATTGTAAAGAATATTTTGTGTCTGTGACACAGACAAAATTGCATTATTTGTAGGATGTATAGATTTTCATTATGTGATATTTTCAATATTTTAATTTACAATTCAGATTGATTCACAAAAGAAACTTGAGCAACTCCTGTAAAATTTTTAAATTGTTAATCTGTCACTAGTAAAATTTACATGTGGATATGATACTAGACACTGGAGCTAGACAATGTAGGTTCAAACCTTCGGAATTTTAGTTGCATTGTTTCTTTTTATGTGTAACATTCTTTTATTATTTTACTTCATTATTATTCCTCACATTTAAAGTTTAAAACATAAGAAATTAAAAATTTGTGACATTTTCGATAAATAGGAAATGAAAGTCTTAGATTATTAACTCTTAGGTTAAAATAAATATGAAGAAATACGATTTTTATTTAAGATACGGTGGTATTGATATATTTGAAGCATAACAAACAAGCACATGAGAAAATTGTCTATAATATTAACAATTAAACAAATAAAACTCAGGCTATTCTACCCTATTTTCACATCACTTGTCTTTTTTGTCCATGTGCAGTAACATCTGAAACTTATTCATTTGTGAGGACATACTATGTGAAAATATATGTGAAGAAATAAAAGTCTTATTTAACAATGTAAAAGAGTTAATTAAAAATCTACAGAGGTTTGTTTTTGCTAAAAGAAAATGATATCATAATTTAAAAATTCTTGTTTTATAAACTTTAAATATGAGGAATATTAATAGTAATAATAATGCTGATTATGCAGTAAACTAATAGAGTTACACACAAAAAAAAACTACAAAACTAAACTAAAATTCTAAAGTTTCATTGTCTAGCTCCAGTGCCTAGCACTTGTCTGAGCAGTAATAGACAAGTGGATATTTCAAAGACATAAGCTAAACACTAAATTTTCAGAGGCCCACTTTTGAGAAATGCTTGAGAAGTGGGTCCTATTATTTGCACAAAGAAATGTTTGTGCTTAAGGCTACATACTCACCAAGTTTTGTTTGAATCAGAGTCCCGAACGTATGGCCCTCTCCTTGTTAACAATAGGAATCATTCTTGAATAATTTTTTAATGAATATTTCTGAACACATTTGATCATAATGTTTAAACAGTATTTTACAAGTTCTGTCATGTCAAAATTTTTGTTTTAGTCTACTGAAAATGGATCAAAGTGAAAAAAGTCACCCCAAAATATTCCCCAAATTTTCTGTCAGTTGATAAAAAATCCCCAATCTGGAAACACTGAGAGGCATTGCACAAAACTGCCTTTGGTTCTCAACATCACTTTCTATTTTTCTGCACGAACTTACCACACGATGTCATCAAATCACTAGGTGCAAGATGCACGGCCCTCCCATTGCACAAATGCTGCTTTTCCTGAAGTGTTATTTGTGATTTAATTTTATGCTGAATGTTGAAGCAGATTAGGGTTCTTATCACCACTTTAATAAAAATATCACCAAGTGGTGATTATGGCACTATGTAGTATGACCCTTGCATTGTCATTTGTTGTCAGGTATTTCTAATGGTTTTTAAGATGGTTACAAAATCATCACACAACAGATAGACATCAAAATTAGCATATTCTTCAATTCACACCTTTTAAAATTTCTCATACCCAACATCTTTCATTTTTGTAACAAATATACAACAGTGGTTAAAAACAAAACATAACAGACAATGTTTCCCTCTTGCTTGTAAATGACTGGTTGCTCAAAATTTGCATTCGATTTTCACTATTTGCTCAGGTGTTAAGCTTAACAAGAAACTGGGATAATACAGATACAGTATACTTACTTTGAATTTTGGATAATTTGAATTAACCAAGTTTTAATGCTAATGATAACTTGTTCAAAATCAGAATTGTCTGCATTCTTCCACTCTTATCATTTTTATATTCAATCATCTGACTCAAGTAACATCAGCTGCAATTATTCATTGTCCATCTCAATGTCAGTTCAATATGCAATATTCTCCATTTTCAGACAGAAAACAAAAAATAAAAAAATAATAAACTAATAGGTTGCAGTATCATTAGTGTTGAGAAAGACAGGCAGTTTGTCTAACAAAAAGTAACTAATGAAGCAATGCTAGCTAATCAATTTTGCCAGTCCCTTAAGAGTAGCTACTGAAAATTGTTAAATTTTATGTCATTTCAAAACAGATATTTAAAAAATTATTCTGAATGTATCTGAGATCAGCTGTAATTGCCAAAGGATTAATTAGATATAGACCTGTTTCAAAATATATATAGATAGCCCTCAGTTTATGCCGCACTTCCATTCCTACAAAAGCCGGCACAAATTGAATCAGCGTAAAATGAACCCATATTTACAGTGAGGTATAGGGTTAGGTTCTACTTAAGTGAAAAATAAGCAAATAATTTTGTTTATTAATACAATATAATACAAAATACATATAAATTTAATTTTTAAAATGTATTTTATCATAAAATAAAGTGAAATATTTTTATTAAAAAATTTTAGTTTCGGATCACTTACATTTTTCGGAAAAAAGTATCCATCTTTAATTGTTTACATTTTTGTTTTATTTCATTAAGAATTTCAGAATATGGTCAAATGGATGTGATGATGCTCCCAATCATTGCCTAACTCACAAAGTTCATCTGTCAAACTTTCCACAGTTGAAAGATACGCTTTAGATTGGCGGTTTTCATAACTCTTGGTGTTTCTTCTTCATTGTTCTTCTGTAGCTCTATGTTGGGTCTGCAGCTCATTCAAATCAAATGGTTTGTGGAACATTTTCTATTGATCTAGATCTGACCAATCCCAACGAGCCACAATTCTACCATGACACGTGTTGTTGTAGTGGACACGTGTCTTGCTAGGATTGGTCAAATCTGGACAAAACCTAGTCAAATCTAGCATAGGAAAAATCAGGGAATTACACAGTGAAACAGCAAATTGTGCAGCAGCATTATTGTGAATCGGCGTAAACCAAGGGCTACCTGTATATTAAACAAGTTTCATTCCATTCAACTTATAATAAATAAAATTCTTCATGTCTTTGTAAAACCAAATTAAAGAAACAACATTCAAATGACATGACAACTAACCGCCTTAATAACAAGTAAATAAAGAGCAGATTTAAAATGACAATTTAAACAATAAACAAAATTTTACCAGATTCTGATAAAGTACAACTAAAAATAAATATCTCACAATTTTTAACAAATTATTTCAATTTTTAGATAAGAGATTATAAAAAATATTTTACAATATTTTTTGTAAATATTCATAAACAGAGAAATTCTAGCACTATTACTTTCCAAGCACTTTGGAGAAAAATTTTAAATTTCTTTGTTGCAAACTCAGTTTTCTTTTTTATCTTCTTTTATTCCAGTTAACTGCTCCAATTGACTCTGAAAATTGATTTAAAAAATTATTTTATAATGAAATAAGATCTTAAAGTTAATTATTATAGCCAAAGATTCTCCTGCTAGTCCAGGAATTTTTAAATTATAAAATATATTTTATTATTATTATCTGATAAAAATTACATTAATAAATCTCATAAGACCTCTTAAGTTTATAATCATATGGTAAAACCTTATATTGAATGGCAGACATTAACAATTCTCAAAACTAATTCTTTCTAGAAAGAAGATATTACTTTTATCTAATATATAATAGAACTATTTAGTGATATACAGGTATCCCTCGTATAACATGACTTCTGGATTTGCTCTAACACAGTTTTGGAAATCCTCTGTACAAAATTTCACAATTTTAAGTGTAAACTCTGTTATCTGATCATTTTTTATTTAAGTAAGCATGTGGTTTGTCCAAAATTTGCTCATGGATTTTAGAATATTGAAATTTTCAACTTTGTTTTGTGCCTTATGTCAGGTTTAGTTTTAATGAAAACTGATAGTAGAATTTTTTTCCCCTTGTCCTTGCTTTCCTATTAATCAGGTGTCATTATTGTTGCTTTCAGACTTTAGCCTTTAATCTATAAAAACAAAACACAATGACAGTCTTTGTATTTAGTAAATTTAAAGTTTTTTTTTTAACTGCAGGTACAGTACATAATCATTTGTAAAAATGAATGAAATACAGTGGTATCTCGATACTCAAACTGTTCCAAACTGGAAAAATTCAAATTTAATTTTTTTTTTTTTTTTTTCAAATTTGAAATATTGCTCTGTACTCGACTGAACAAATGTGACCTACAAGAACAAATTTTCAACTGAACATTTTTATTTTGTCATCCATAGAAAATTATAATAAAAATAAAAAAAATGAAGAGGTTGCTGATACTTCTGATCAAGATCACCAATAAAGCTCAGAAGATGGCAATACATTGAAAAAAGAAAACAACCTCATTTAAATTAAAATTTAATTAAAAGTATTGTATTGTGTATTAGTATTGTGATTGTTAATTAATTATTGATTGGAAATAATATATTGATTGCTTTAATAAACATATTTCTCTTATTAGCAAAAAATAATAATATACTTTTTGTTAACTTCTGGAACATAACCCTATGTTTTGCATTGGTCCTTTGTTTTGTATAGCACTTTTTCAGAACATATCTGCTGTGTTATATGAGGAATACCTGTACTTTCGATAATTTTATTACAGATCATTTATTTATATTTTGAAATATTATCAAGACATACATTTTGTAAGTCATTCTGACATATTTGTCAGAAGTGATTTACTAAATGTAAATAGTAAACATTTATAATAGCATCAATGTGTATTTTTATAGAAGTTTATTACTGAAATAGTGTGCTTCAGTCACTTGGAGTGCATATCATTGTAAAAACTAAAAATCATTGCATCAGGTCATGCATTGGTTCTGCATTCATGTTTAGAAGACAACAAAGATTTAAGTATTAAAAAGAAATAGTTTTATCAATGTTTTAACCATAGAATATTTAAAAAAAATCAATTTAAGTTAATTATGAAATCTACAAAATGTATGAATTTTTTAAAAATGATTCTATGTATTTGCATTTAACATTAACAAAGTTTTAACTATTTTTACCTGTGTTTCATTATATTCTTCTAGTAAACGATCGTATTCTCGAGAAAGTCCTTTGGATTGCTCTCTAATTGCATCTAAATCTATTTTTGCTAAATTCAGTTCTAAAAATAACAAAAAATTATTTATTAAATTATTTTGTGCTAATAACACATCTACAGGTAATAATATCAATTTTTCAACTTTATTCACTTCTATCAATTTTCAGAGTCAAATTTTAAAATATTAAAGGAATATATTGTGCTTAATTTGCATATTTTGAATATTGTGATAATAAATTTCAAATTTTCATATGCTTAATAATGTTTTACAAAAAAAAAAAAAATACCAATAGAAAACAAATTCATTGGTTTAATATTTATTACTGTTAGAAAGTTGTGAATGTGACCTTTGTCCTTGTAATCGTTATGCCCTCTCCTCTGCTATGTGAGGCGTGAGTTGAGTTATGTAAACTCTGTCAAGAGAAGTGGTACTTGGGTTTTGACTTTAGTTGGTCTTAAATGTGTGTTGTGCTCTAACATACATTTCTTTTTAGTCCTCTCATTCTTTGTCTTACCTCGACACCACCCTTCATCATATCCATATTCTGACAATTACATTAATGGAAAAGTTATTTTGCCAATATAAAAGTATTTAAATTCAGTTATATAACTGCCTTTAAATACTTATAATATGCAATTTTATAACCCAGAATTTCATTAAGAATAACTCAAAATAAGAATATTTCATAAAATTACACATCAATATAAGCAAACCTAAATTGTAACAATTATAAGTCTTATGCTGAATTAGAAAACAATGACTTGCTCAATTTTGTCCATTACAAGGGAGCCTTATTAGCATTGGTAGGAAATGAAAATGCTTTGATATGAATAACACAAAATTATGAGGACCAGATCAAACACATTCCTTACAGTAATAGAAGGATATTTTATGCAAAATCATTTGTCAAATAGCTTTTGTTTTAATAGTTGATTTTTTCAAAATATCACTTATGGTAGCTGCTATTTCGTTGCGAATTTCTCTCTTTAATCCGATCAAATCAGTTCGGTAGACTATCATATACAGCTGTATATGATAGTCTACCGAACTGATTTGATCGGATTAAAGAGAGAAATTCGCAACGAAATAGCAGCTACCATAAGTGATATTTTGAAAAAATCAACTATTAAAACAAAAGCTATTTGACAAATGATTTTGCATAAAATATCCTTCTATTACTGTAAGGAATGTGTTTGATCTGGTCCTCATAATTTTGTGTTATTCATATCAAAGCATTTTCATTTCCTACCAATGCTAATAAGGCTCCCTTGTAATGGACAAAATTGAGCAAGTCATTGTTTTCTAATTCAGCATAAGACTTATAATTGTTACAATTTAGGTTTGATTATATTGATGTGTAATTTTATGAAATATATGAAATATTCTTATTTTGAGTTATTCTTAATGAAATTCTGGGTTATAAAATTGCATATTATAAGTATTTAAATGCAGTTATATAACTGAATTTAAATACTTTTATATTGGCAAAATAACTTTTCCATTAATGTAATTGTCAGAATATGGATATGATGAAGGGTGGTGTCGAGGTAAGACAAAGAATGAGAGGACTAAAAAGAAATGTATGTTAGAGCACAACACACATTTAAGACCAACTAAAGTCAAAACCCAAGTACCACTTCTCTTGACAGAGTTTACATAACTCAACTCACGCCTCACATAGCAGAGGAGAGGGCATAACGATTACAAGGACAAAGGTCACATTCACAACTTTCTAACAGTAATAAATATTAAACCAATGAATTTGTTTTCTATTGGTATTTTTTTTTTTTGTAAAACATTATTAAGCATATGAAAATTTGAAATTTATTATCACAATATTCAAAATATGCAAATTAAGCACAATATACAGTCGACCCCCCTATAATTACGGTCCCTATAGTTACGATTCCTATAAAACTACGAAAAAATTGCTACCGNATTTTTTTTTAAATTTTATTATTATTAAAATTTATATTGTTTAAGAAAAATCATAGATTCTTTACTTTTTTTATTAATATTAAAGAGGAATACTAAATTAATTATAAAAATTATAACTAAAGTACTGAAGTATCATGTTACACAATCAAATTATAAGCAATTACAAGGTCAAAAAATTTTTTAACAAATGAAATTTATATACAGTATATCTTACATTGAAAGTAATTTTTACCTTTTACGAAAAGAAAAAAGAAAGTGAAATTATACGCATAAATAGATACTGTTGTAGAAAACATTTTAAACTATGTGAAGCATGCAAGCATTTAATTATTGTTACTTTCTTACAATGCATATGCAGATTGTACACTGGTGCAGGTGCCCCCAATTTGGTAAACTCTAGGCCCTAGCTATATCACATTTTTCACTAAAATAAAAACAAGTTACATTTCAGTAAAAGAGTAAATCACTTTTGCTTTGCCTCCCTGCCTAATCTGCCAATCCCTGCAAGCATACTTTACTGTGTTTCATATGTTTTCTGCTTAGAAAGACCCAAAAGTCAGCTACATTTATTCTATAAGGAATGCCTAATTTTACAATCCATTAGATTAATCTTTTCTAACATGTCTAGTGCTCCACATGAAACATGCAAGTCATTGGGAGTCTCATCCCTTTCCACTTTTCCAAGAACTCCAGTAACAATATTGCTTAAAAACTGGGTATATGTAAGGGCTGGTTTACACAATATGACTACTGTTGACAGTTTGCTGCTTGAAACAGCAACATACATGGATTTGCCTCATTTGAACAAACTTGTGACTTATTGGCACACTTGGTTCAAGTTGCAATGGTGTCACTGAAAATCTAATGTATCAGATTTTTTGCTCCTTGTTGCATTGTCAAACAAATCAAAGATAAAACTCTGAATTACAAGGATGGTAAGAATATGATCCATGTTGGATCAAGTTCTTACCACTCTTGAGAGAAATGAATGCACATGTGAGCATGTCCTTGTGCATGCTCACAAGTCAGAACAATTTTAAAGTTGTTTTCCAGTGCATCATGTAAACATCTGAAATTGCTGACAAATATAAATGTATTTTTGGGTGTGACAAAATGTTTGTAACAGTTACATCTTGTAAAGCAGCCTTAAAAATGTGTTCACTCTTTAACCTGTCAGACTAATCAGACTGATTCTGTCATGTTTCCATAGCGATCATTGTCAATTATCCAACTAGTNTATATATATATATATATATATAATGTAAATCATATCTAAGAAAATATTAAAGACAGCAAAAATATTATTTATGATTTTCTAATATAATAATAGTACTGAATGGGGAAATTTTTGCTCCTGGCCAGACTTTTACTATTAAATATTTGAGTCATTCAGGTTGAATACTTGAAATATCAAATTATGATAAATTTTTTGAGAAGTAAGTTAAAAAAGATGCATCACATTTAAATCAAAATTTGTTTTTTACTTATGATGAGTTGCTAGTGCTTAATAAGCACAGTATATAAAATATGAAAATTTTCTTAAAAGGCGTATGTAGCTACTGTTTTATTTTTTTTTTAAGATCAGCTGAGTAATCATATTTTTCTGAAAAACAAATAATTACTAAGAAATGTGACACCATCAATTGAGAAAAAAAAATCAAATAAACTAACATTTATTGAAAAAACTAAGTCAATAATTAACAATGTAAAACTGAAGTTCAAAATTTTGTCAAGTCTAAAGGGAAAGGGTGACATAGTTTAATAAGTATTTTCATCTACACAAAAGTCTTAATCCAATTCAAGACTATTTTTTTATTTTTTTTAAATTAAAACTTGACCAAATTCTAACAATTTAATAAGCATTTCGTAGATTACAATATAAAGTATATTAATTGCAATAATAATAAGTCAACTATTTTATTGTCATCTTATAATAAATGTTTATGAAAACCTATTAACTTACCATCTTTAGTTTTTTTCAATTCTTCTTTTAAATTACATATCTCTTTCTCTTGTTCTTCTAACTGTAAATTTCCTTCATTATCTGCACTTTCTTTTTTACTTGTAGTTACTAATTCTCTCTTTAAAAAAAATTAAATATCTATATATATTTAACATACTTAAATATGCTTTTGAAACTCAATGATATAATAGAAAATTGAAAGTTTAAAAATAAATATTTTATGTAAATACAGAAATTTTACATAAGTAAAATGAAATAAAATTTGTGAAGATTTATGTATCAGAAAACTAACGAAACTAAACTAAACTAAAAAAGAAAAAAATGAATTGACTTATCTTCCCTCACCCCTATATTTTGTCACACAAATTGTTATGATTTAGCATTAAACAAAATTTTATTATTAAAAACTGCAGATATTCTTTAATAATTAATACAGTTTATTTTAAATTTAAGTGTTTAAATATGCTTCATTTGTATAATTACTAATATTGTATCCCTGAGGCATTAAAAGAAATGGATTAAAATAATTTTTATACTTGAATCCTCAAAAATTTTTGGGTTGACTCAGATATTCAAAGCCTCATCTATCACCATCCCACTATCCCTATTGTTGGCCTGGCCAATTACATGATAGATGTGATTGACAAAAACCTCTTAACATCAGCAAATCAGAGAAATGAATTAAAATTAAAACAAAAAAAACTGACTCATCAAAAAACAAAATTCCAAAATCTGCAATTATGTAGATATATTCAATTGTTGATCTAATACCTAGTAAATCAAGTTGGTAGATAACTTCTGATGTCTAAGTGACAAAAATTATTTTTATAAATAAAAATCATAATTCACAATGTAACAAATTGTATTACAATGACATGATATATAAGATAACAACAGTGAATGCAGAGTAGTGCAAACATAGCTTTGGGGAAAGACAAAAACATTTGACTGGCATTCAGAAGCCAGTGCAGCAATACAAGTGTGTCACCCTGCAGGGAGTGTGTGTAGAAAAGTGATATGGCCATTTGTACACAATTATTGGTTTTAAAGACATAAAATTGTTTTTGCCTTTACTTTTTGATTCACCCTCATAGAATTCAAAACTAATTCATTTTGAAAATAAATCTAAAAATTTTAATAGTTTAAACATGTTTATTTTGATTTTTCAATTTATCAAAATAATATTTTATACTGTGTATTATGTGATGACAAATTTTTTTTCCTATGGAATTTTGTTTTTTATTTTATAAAATTTAATATAAAATTATTACATATCTTAGTACAGATATTAATAATATTAATATATATATTAGTACAGATTAACATAACATCTTACTCTTTCATTTTCTTTCATTAACTTTTCTGCTCTCTCTGTTGCACTTTGTGCTTGTTTCATTGAAGCTTCACAGCAAGCTATTAAGTTTGCTTGGGCTGAAATTAATGTGACAAGTCTACGAATAACTCTAAAAGAAAAAAAACATTAAACATAATTGTTATAATGATATTTTTAATAATATTTTGAAATAATACAATTCAACTTTTCATATTTATTTTCTTAATGATACAATAGTTTTAAAAGAATTTAAATAAATTAGTAAAACATTTATTTTATTTCAAACCACAAAAACTTAATATTTATTACAGTGAATTTTAAAACAGAAATAACAGATTCTGCTAAACAACTATAAAGCAATAGATGAAATTTATAATTTATTGTATAAGTGTGTGGTGTTACACAACACCATTTTTATTTTTTTTTGTAATGGTTTGTCCACAGTAGAAGTAGCCACCCTTACTTTTCATTGAGGGGTACTTAAGGGTGTTCCCCTTTGTTTCTTTCTATTCTTTTGTGTGTGTGATTGACGAGCAGAGAGTGAAGAGGTCAAGCAAGCAAGGACTATGAAAGTGAACTGTGTAGAATTTTATTTTTATCTGTGTACATCCAAGTTTTGGGAAAGACTCTTCCGAATGAACTGTCTCAGGATTTTTCTATTGTTTGAATTCAACATTGAAATAGTTAGTTTTTTTTTGGTGCTAAAAAGAAAAGCGGGAAAATTTTGTAATTTGAACTCCACATACTTAATATTGTAGCCCTTTATTTTTTTGTAGAAATTAAATTGGATTCCCCTAGTCTGGTATTACAGGGAATTATTATAAGTGCAACATAATTGACATTCACATTCACATGATATTCTGACTCAATTTTTTGACAGCAATGGTAACACAAAAGTTAAATGAAAAATTATGTTTTTTTCTTAATTGAGAAAGATCATATGCAGATTTCTATACTTTCTCTAGATCATACTGTTAATTGTCTTTGTCTTGATAATTGATCATTCTTGCCTGAAGTAAAAACATTTTTTGAAATTGTTTTAGGTAATTTAAAAAACAGCAGTTAGTAAAGTACAGGATGATTATAATTAAAGTTTTTCTATTCAGAACTCTGAATATTCCATTCTGCTTATTAGCTGTAACTAATAAGCAGAATGGAACTAAAATCTGTACATGTACTATTCAAGGGATAGGAAGAAGGATTTTGAGAAGTTTACTTCCAAAAACTGTCAATGAGGAAAATATAAGGAAAAGAGAGAAAAATAAGTAATGTTGTTATAATTAATAATTACATTGAGAATAGTAAGATCATATGTGCTTAAAAAATTGAAAACTGTTATGGGGGTTCTGAAATATTTATCAAATTATAGAGTTTAAATTCAAACTTTATTAATATTTTGTATAAAATAAAACTTCTATAACAAAAATCCCAAAGAATTATACTGAAAACATTGGTCAATATATCTCCTTCAGACTCATCCCAACCATAATGACATATTATGCAACATTTTGAAATCACCTGTGGAAGAACAAAACTTCTTCCCAAATATGGACTAAACTCAAGATGAAAGTCATCAATGCTGAAAGGCTGAAAAAATGATGAAAGTGGAAAAAGAGACACAGTAGAGGAAGAGATAGTTTAGGGGAGATGTAACACTGACAACATGCAGGTAGAAGACATCAAGGAAGCAGTGCATGACCCATCCAGTTATATCCGTCTGTACATATTGAGCCCCTAGGCTTTCAGGTGTTTTGGTTTCTCTTCTAGCACTTCAATCTTTCACTCCACTACAGCTCACAGCTTGATCCTGATATGGTAGGTACTAGACCATAGTACTGTACTTAGCTCTATTTTTGTATATTTTACAAAACAGTATTGGTCCTTTCATTTTTTTTAATCTTCCTATATCCTAGACACATGCCCTGAATCCAGCAAACCATCCTCCATTCCATTGACCATCTTCATTGATATTCAGCAAAGCCATCAAGGAGACTCACTGAGATTTGTAGAATTTTGTTCATTTTGTAAAAAAAGGTATTTGTAAACTCTAACTCTCTCTCTCTTTCTCATGTGTTTACAGAAATTGAATTAATCTTCCATTTAATTAGAGAAAATAAATAGATTGTTGAATTGTATTCTTAGCCACTCTGTCAAGACCCACATAACATCCACCTTTCAAACATTTCACCTTTATGTGGTTCAATTAGACAAACAACTCAGGCCAAAAGAAATTGCCTCATAATAAAATGGAATGAACCTCAATGTATTTATAAATAAATATAAAACTGTTAAACTAATAATAAATATTTAGTTTTTTGAACAAATAGCTGAATGCTAAATAAAAATACAGAACATTGCATCTATATTGTTAACTGTTTAATTCATATGTCAATAATGAATAGGCTGTACTTTATTCATGTAGATTATGAAAAAGTTGTCAAATAACTCTAGATTTAATTCAAAGAAATAAAAGTACTTACAACCAAAGAAATAATGCAAATCCTGCAATGTAGTAATTTCTTTGCGATCTGAATAATTTCATACTGACTTGAATTTCAGCTTCTAAATGTGAATGACCTTCAGTATGAGCTTGTTCCTTTGTAGCTGTATATTTTCTCATTTCTCGGATTGAATCTATGAGTTATATTAACATTTTAAATTTAATTCAGAAATATGAATTAATTTACTTAAAAATTTATAAAAATAATTTATACTTAAAAAAAACATACCCAGAAAGAACAATACCAAAATACCAATAAATACAAGGAAATACAAATTTGCTTGATTAGCTATACTCTGACATATTCTTGATTTGAAAAACCTGTGCCATCTACAAGGAAAAATTAGACATTAAATTAATTAGTTATTATTATTCTTTACAGTATATTAGAAATTCTACAATGATGAAAATAATAGGTAAATTTGTTTCATTAATTTTGGAAGCATTTAATGAATTTATTTGCTAAATATATAGCTTAAAATATATTATTTTAAAAATTTTATTTGATAATATATGCTTAAAAACTATAAAGATAAAATATTTAAACATTATAAGCAACAAAAAATTAAATCTACTTAATGTAATTAAATACATTATTTGTTTGCACAGGAGACTGGTAAGCAATATTATACAATTATTTGAAATTTTTATCTTAAAAAAATTTCTTGAAAATATCTTAAAAAAATTCAACAGAATAATAATTTAGATTTTAATGTTTAAATTTTATAGATATTCAAATCTTAAAAAACAAATATTAAAGTCTATTTTCTACTTCATAATTTTATTAAAATTTTGAAACAGCAGTATGTAAAAATTTAATTACATTTACAACAGTCTATAAAAATGGATTAATAAAATCTCTATGAAGATGGAGTTTGAGACAACAGTTTTAATTACAATAATCTTAATTTACTTTTATTTTATTTTACACTCCTCAAAAGTGAAATTGCAAGACCATGAAGGAATGTACTGTACATAGCCACATGCACATTGCATGACCAGTAGAGGTGACAGAAAAATGCAAATTATTAAAAGAACAAAGATATGCAACAGACATTTGTTTATTCAGTAACGAATATTGCTCCATGGGCAGCTTGTTATTGTTACTGAGATATTATCTTAAATGCACTTTAAAATATTTTAGAATTATGACAATTATATTTTGAATTTCTTACCTTAATGGTGAAATGAAAGGCAATAACAAGATAATTACAATGGCTATTTCAGAATAAAGAAATACGGCAACCAATGTCCACTGAAGACTCATTTTCATAAAATTTATGCAAATTACTATTTTCCTGTAAAATATATGTAAACAAATTGTTAGTTTTTTAAACATGTAATAATGATGATTAACACACAATATTTAATAAGATAATAAATTAAACTTTGCAATAGCAAATAAAAGCTCTTCTTAACTACAACAGTCATCAAATAGTGAATAATCAAAATTTTAGGAGATTTTCATAATTTTAATTACTGACTCAATGTTTTTCAAATGTTATGATGACTAGCAAATATCCTAGAAATTATTGATATTCTAGATATTTTTAAGATATTGTTTTTGAATCATTTGTTTATATCATAGTTGCCAACCCTCTGTCTTTCATGCTAAAAATCCACCTCTGGAAGCAGTTGTCAGCCCATCAGCCTGAGCTAGAATACTTAATTTTTTGAGATAACATAACACTTTTAAAACACTGTCTTTGCAAACATGTATTTATGGCCAATACTAAAACTCCCACTGTCCAACATTAGCATTTTATTCATGTTCAAAGTTGCTGTATGCATACAAGAATTTCAATGCAAGCTTTAAATTTCTAATTAAATTATGAAAATTAATTTTTTCTAAAATGTTGTTGCATATGAAATTTTGTCTCAAAGTGTGATGGATATATGAGAACTCCATGATACAAGAAAGCTGATTTGAAAGTTCTTGTAAATCTAAGTCAAATACCAAAATCACTGTCTAGGTTATATAGATTATGAGGAATCATTATTTTTGTGTAATTTTTTCTATACATAATTAACTTTTCATATAACAGTAGATATAGTATAGTATGTTATACAGGAGAATGTACTATTACAGTAGAGCTTCGTTTATCCGAATCAATTGGGGACTGGAGTTGTTTGGATAACTTATTTTTCGGATAACCGATTATGTACAAAAATATATATTAATATATTTTATTGAAGAGGCAGAGGAAAGTATGCCATGTTGAAATTGTTGTGTATCGCTTTGCGTTGAATTTTTGTCGATGTTAAGCCTAACAAACTTTTTAAAATAATAATCGTGACTATTGTATCGTTAAAAATTATTTTTTTATTTTGTACAAACAAAATAAATATATTGAAAAATATAAAAACCAAAAGAAATATACTTTAGAAGTTGATCTAGTATCAAAAACGTTCAATTCAGCACCACACACAGTCCTCAGAAAAACACCACACAAAAGTGCCAGTGCTACCAGCTAAAAAACACACACCAACAAAAAAATATTGGAGTAGCCCAAGATATAGCCAAAGATTGCAGCGCCATAGCACTAGCGGAAATTTAAATTTGCCAACTGGAATTCTTTCGGATAACCAACTTTTGGATAAACGACGCTCTACTGTACTCTGTATTTACATTCTACTACTAGCAATCAGTCTAGTAGAAAAAGTCAATATTATAAACCTATTATTGTGATAAAGAGAATGAAAATTTAATAAATATTTAAAAGTGCTGCAAATCTTCAATCTTTCTATAAACTTTTTTTTTATTTCTCAGCATTTACATTCCAAAATCAGCCTTTCCTAGCTATCATCAGCCTCATTTATAATCTAAGGTTGTCAAGGATGTTATATCTAGTGAAAATTTGGTTAAATGTTCAAAAATGATTGTCGATCTCTAATCTAGGCTAACTGAAACCAGGATAGTCAACCATCCTGATATGGTCAGGATAATTCCAATTTACAACTACTAGTATATGTCTTGCATCACAAATTTGTAAATTGTCTCACAATGAGATTTTTGTTGTGATTAAATTTTCAATTTTGTATACAAAAACCTCCACCACTATAAAATTCAGCCAAGTGTATCACTGTGATTAACTTGGCAACAATGCACCCTGATGACTGTGTAATTAGGCATAAACTGTATTTTCAGGCTTGCACTGCAATCAATTGTTTACTACAGAAGTATGATTCTCTACAATCCACTTCAAATGTAAACTAAAGCATACTCTGTAAAATCAAACTTTAGAATAAATCACTTTAGCCAAATTATTGAAATGGAAAAAGAAAATTTGTTATTAAGAGAGTTAAATAATAATGTTGAACTAAATAAAAGTTGCAGGTAATATAAACTGCATTTGAATCCTTCTAAAGAGAAAGATTGCTCTTATTTCATTTGCCACACAACTTTTTGATATTTAATTTTTACATTATTTTGCTACTATTAATGTTTATAATATAAATGTTTACGAAATTATGCATTCCTTTAAAGTAACATACTCTTATTTTTTTAGTCATTTTTTTTATGAAAAACTGTTGGTAATATATATTAGTTATAATAAAAATCAAATAGTAATTTTATGCTTTCATTAACTTTATCCTCACATTTTGATTGTCCCACATTGGCATTTTAGAAGTATGGCTAACTATACGAGGCAGACTCAAACATTTTTGAGAGGCCATTTTGCCCTAAAATAGGATGACCAATTTTTTTTTTGGCAAATCCAGGACACATGTCAATTGTCACTTTTTAGGGTACACAGTATCAGCCTACATGTATAAGTACAGTCAAATGAATACTGAACATACCCATGACTGAGACCTAAACATCTTAATTTTGATTGAGCTTGTTCATTTTAATCAAATAGCTCTCCTTCAATAAGGTTTATAGTGTGAGGCCTGAGTGATACTTGAGCTCATGTGTTAAAAATTTAATAAAAGTGTCAAATCAGGGGATTGGGCTTTGATTCTAACACTTGTAGAAACTGAAAGAAAAACCTAAATAAAATTGGGAAAGAATAAAATTATTAATCAAGAGGGGAAAAAGTTTTTAAAAAACCTTAAAAGGAGATCTAGCCCAGAGACTGTGTGTCAGACTTACAAGAATTTGAAACAATTAAATACAAGCAGGAGTTAAGATGTGATTAATTTCCCTTGATCAAATAAAACAGTGTCAAATTTGATTCTTCGTAGCCCGAAATGGTCTGTTATCTATCTGGATACAAGAAATTGACCAATAGGAAAGCTATAGATTCAGTGAAAAGAATCCTTTAAAAGTCTGAATCTCAAGGACAAAGGCATACTTTCCTCTGCCTCCTGTTGTGAAGTAGGAATGAAGACAAGGCATCTGCCTTGTCTTCATTCCTAATGTCACCATCCTGCCTTGAACTGTTCTGGTTTTCAACATTTAATCACCATTTTTCTCAACACCCATAGAAGAATCTTGACTGACTACCTTGGGCCATCCATCGACTCTACAATCCAGCTCCAACAGTTGACGAGATGCACTATAGATTGTAAGATTTAGCATAAATAAACGGGTTTATTTGTCACTGCAGCTATCTGCCTCACTTTCCTTCACCCCACATACAATAAATTCTGACATTTGGTTATCCCCAATTCGGCAACCTCACAATAGCTATTTACTTTTAGTGCTTTTTTTAGCTATATTTTTTGTTTGCATTTTAAAATTTGGCTCCTTTTTGGCATTTCCTAAAAAACTGTTTACTTCATAAAAAATTACCTTCAAACCTGAAGACATTGGACACATCCTCTGGTTGAAAAATTGGCAACAAAAATATTACAGTAACCATGAGGAAACAAAAAAATGGGGACAAGTCTCCTTTCTGGGGACAAAACCAGTGTTGCTTTCTTGTTGGTGACAGAGGGTCAAAACAGAGACTGGCTCTGGAAATTGGGGATGGCTGGTCACCCTACCTAAGACGTAGAACATATTTTTCTCTATAAATAAAATTAAGTTGTCAGCAATTTCTGGTGTAATTTACACTGCAAATCAACACATTTATTGTAAATTTTAAATTATTCACATGTTCACCTCCAAGAACTTAGAAATTTGCAATACTTTGAAAATTCCTACCAGACACCAGATATAAGACTAAAAGCAAGCCAAGAAAAAGTGGGATATGTCAGGTCATTCTGTAGACCAGAATGACTATGATAAAATTTGGAACCTTTGGTCAAACATGACAGGTTCCTTCATGTATGAGTAAAAATAAAAAGCTCCTTTATTCAAAGTATAATGATGTTTTGCCCACTGGTCCTCTCTGCAGATTTCTCTGAATATAAATATTTTAATTTGACTCACCCTATACATAATGATGATTTAGAATTTATAAAATATAATTATTTTGATACATTAAGTTGTTTTCTAAACAAAGAAGTGTTATATTCATATATACAGTAGATCCCCCTATAAAACCGTTTCCTATAGTTATGATTCCTATAAAAATTGTGGCATTATCCGTAAACAACGGTAAAAATAACTCCTATAATACGTAAAACGTCATCGGGCAGCCGAACTACTTACCTGCTGTCCGTAGCGCCACGCTACGGAGAGATTTCTATCGTCTGGACAGTATTATATAAATTATATATAAATTAGGTACTGTACATATAATTATATATTAATTATATATAAATTAGGTACTGTATATATAATTATATATTAACTTAATTTATTGTAACTTTATTATAATTAAATATATATTTTTCGCCGTCTAGCGTCACGCTACGGCGAGTTAGGCGACCTATCGTCTGTTTAGTACTGTAATTTTATACATTTCTTGTGAAAGAAACATTTCTTATTTAACGGCCATAAAAATTATTTATATTAATGATGTCTCCAAAGGTCAACGAAGTTTTCGCAGAAAAATAATATCAGAAATCGCGGCCGCAATTTGATGCGCTGTTCCGCGACGAAACCAAGCTTTAGCAACGAGCGTAGTCAAAGGGTACACACTCGGTAAGTAATCCTACAATTTTTTGTTTATAACGTAGTTTATACGGATTATTTTAAAAAAAATATACGTATTTTGGAAATGTTGAGTCGAATTAGTCTAGAATCGATTAATTTTATGAAAGAAAACCTTTCAAACAGCCGTAGTCCGTAAACTATGATTCCTACAAAATTGATTCATAAAGAACGGAACGTATCTACCGTCTTATAGGGGGATCTACTGTATATATATAAATGTTCATAAAATAGTTTTAACATCAGATTTGACCTGAAATTATTTTATATATACTATATCAGAAACAATGCTGTAAATTAAAATCAAAACAC